AACTGTGTGATAACTTTAAATTTTTTCAATTCACTTAAGGAAATGCTTTGTTAATAGTGAACGGTTGCCGTCGAAAATTCATAAAATATAATCAAGGGCAGTATAAGAAAATACATTTTAAATTTCGTAAACAAGGGTTCAGTTATTAAGGCCGAAAGTATTATTTCGGGAGGAATTTTGATTTTTGAGAAGTAAAACAAAGGCCCTCCAAATCTTCAAGAAAGAGAGGTTTTCTTTCATTTTTCCCCGAGTTTAAAAATAGTCCAAACTAGTTCTTAAAGTACCGAACTAAATACTGTTTATGGTTTGTTCAAAATTGTTTTATTTAGAATTTCAGCAGCTTTTTTTTAAATTGAAAGACGCAAAAATCACTAAAGGCTTCAATGGCAAATATCTCGAGAATGGTGAGGAATCGACATGAACCATAGACATCTTTTGTTTAAGGAACTGTGCGTTCCTCTATCTACCAAACCTCCAAAAACAGTTTTTGTAGTAAATTGAATTTAAATAAAAAAAGTTTTGCAAAAATATTAAAATAAGATCTGCATATACAGGGTGTCCCAAAATGTCGATCATACAATTCCACGCTTTAAACACCAATAACTTAATTGAATAGAAAGCAGATAAAAAAATTAATTATCCATTGAATTATATTTTTTTTCTATCGCTAACGATTGAGACTTCAATAAAAAATGCCGATTTACAAAGGTCGGTATTATTAAGTTTTCGCATTTTTTGAGTCTCCTATACTTTATGTACGTAAGTTCCCAGTTCATATGCGAAGAAAGAGAAACCCAACCAGCTTTCGCGGCAGAAGTCAACGAATGCCTGCAAATTTTCAGTTTTAAAACGCAAATTGTCCAAGTAAATTCTTTCATCTAATTTCCCAGGTTTAAATCAGGCAGCTTGCGCTTAGTTTACAATATAAATTGCGGTCTAAATTTAAACCATTCCATATACAAATCGGGGCAATTTCTGAGATAAATGAACTTGGAGATTGGCGTTCCTGTTACGGTTCTTCGGATGTTTGAAAAGTTCTTGTTTTGCTTCAAGCAAAAGGCTGGCGCTGTTTTAATGGCCTACACATCGATGGTAAGTAACGTCTGCTATGTCCATTATCTGTGTAATTTTGGCAAGATTTCCAGGTGTCTGGGATTATTGGAATGGTGTATTTTCTGGCCAAAATGCATCTGGATTATACGGAAGCTGATAGCCATTTTCTGGTAATATCGGTGTTTCATGTGTTAGTCAGTGCGATTTTGATAGCGGCCGTTGTCTGGGTATGTTCGTTTTTTCGGGCCTTGTCCATTGTTTTACCAGTGTTTTTCAGGAAAAACCCCTACTAGTGCTAGTTTATGAGTTTTTGCATCTTTCCGTGTTGGTTTGCTTGCTATTTTATGCAATCGTCTACAATCAGCACTGTGCGAGTTTTTGGGTCATATTGGGGAGTTGTATCGGTGGGTGACAAGAACCAAAAACAAGCAGCAGGAAAACTGCGATTTTTTTAGCTGTAGCTGTTTACTGGATGTCCTGCATTCACATGTACCAAAGGCAGCTGAGACTGAAGCTGAAAAGCCACCTAGATTACATTAATGGTGACGCCTACAGTTTGTGTAGTAAATTTTATGAAAATAAACATTTTCCTGGTTTTTCGTTTGTTTATCTACCTTGCCTGCATCAATGGTGCTCTTGAATTAAACACTCACACGTTTAATGCATTTAAATACTCATTTATTAGTTGAAATCAGCAGGTTTGACATGTTTGTCCTAATCTACTAAGGATTGTGGTTGTTGAGCCCGAATCTACGCCTCTGCTGTTCAGTAGCCGCTCACCCGCTGGTGTTGCTCTGAAGATTGAAGAAGCTCAATAAATCGAAACGGGGTTTGAAGCTTATACTACCTTTTTCTGGTTCGGCCAGCTGATTGTTGTCTCCTTCCACTGCTTCCTTGATGTCGCCACCTAAGAAGCAAAGTCTGAGACCTGGGGAAGGGTTTGAGTTTTCCCACTACTTACCTCTCAGTTGATATCCGATCCTGTACGGGCGGTCTGAAAGGAAACTTTGATAAAATCATCCTTTGGCTTGAAACAGAACTAGAAACTTACTAAGTCCATAGACACTATTTCCGCCGTAGCCTCCATAGCCTCCTAGTCCTCCCAATCTTGCCAATGATCCTAGGCCTCCATAGCTTCCATATCCTCCATATCCACCAGACAGTCCATATCCACCACCATATCGCCCTAATCCTCCATATCCTCCATTTCCATACTGAAGGCCGATTCCTCCATATCCTCCATTTCCATACTGGAGGCCGCTTCCTCCATATCCTCCGTTGTATCTTCCATATCCGTTGGAGTAGCTGCCGTAGTTACGCCCATATCCGCCTCCGAAAAGGAAACGAGGACTGTCCTCCTGCCCATCTAAATTGCGAAAGTTCCAGAATTAGCTCAAAAGTGAAACCAGAAAGTTTCAAGAGCAAATGAGTATGAAAATATTGAAAAGATTCTTACCTGAAACGTGAGATGCTGCGGAGACGCACACAAGGACCGCAAGGGCCAAAAGGGTTTTAGTGACTGTATACATTGTTGTTTGTTCTTTTGACCGCACCACAATGCTTCCACACTGGAATCGGCTGAATTTATACCAAAAAGTTTGATGGGGTTTTAATTTTTTTATTGGAAATTAAGCAATTTTTGTAATTGTTCATTGTTTCATGCAGTTGCTAATTAAAAAATATTTTTATTGCCCAAAATATAGCTAACAAAGTTACTCGTTGATTTAATTGATTGTTTGATATTATTTGCTCTCGGTAAGTTTACATGTGATTTTTCCCAACATTTGGAGAAGAAATTCGCAGTCTTCGAGTTAAATCCCATCATAGTGTTTGTTTAGGTCGATCTCAATTTTAGCACTTTTTTTCTAAAAAACACATCAAGTCTCGGCCTTGTCTGCACGAAACTGCGCCGAGCAACATAAACATTCTCAAACGACTGTTATTTAATATGGACGTTGCTCTTATCCAGCAAATTCGAAGAACAATTCGTCGGACTGTTTGGTTCACCAAGCACGTGCAGTGGATCTTAAATTCGTTGATCAAATTCGTAATTTTTTTGGAGGTTCGGCAGGAAACTTGCACACCTTAACTGCTTTTGGTGTACTTTGATGCATGTTTAATGCAAATTTGTTGACAATGTGATCATTTTTTATTGGAGGAGAAAGCTGGTTTAAATGGCTTGTTTTTGATTGAATGATTTTTCGGCATTTGCGGTGCTTTTTTCGGAAACCTCACATAATTCGTTTGGGGCGACTGTCTTGTATTTAAGGGAATTGGAAAATTAAGGAAAGAAAATGAATCTTTTGGTGAAAACTAGTCGGCTTCTGAACCACGAAAAAATGGCTTTTATGCGAAATTAAACAACATTGGATATCGGTGAGTTTGGTTAGATCGTTTTATTTTTAATTAAGGAATTTGTGGGTAAGGGTTGGACAGGGTTATTGATTGAACTTTGTTCACCCCGTTTTTGCAACTAATTTGAAATTTAGAGAAAAATGTTAAATACTAAAGTTCTAGATATTAAGGTCTAGTTTATTTTAGTATAGTACCAATTGAAACAGGGTGTCTCAAATTCAAGCGACAGTCCAAATTTACCGTTTTTTTAATGGAGTTTCGTACTTTTTATTGCATTTTCGAGCTATTTGTAAAACTCTAGGCCTACTCAATAAAAATGTTCTGTATTGATTTTCAACTGCTGGAAGTTTGACATCACAAAATTGCGGAAAATTTCGAAAAACACTTTTTTCCCGAACATTTCGTATGTTTTTAGAAAACCGTCAATGGCTCGCTTATTATCGATCGTAGCAAAAAAGTTTATACCAACTTTCTTATGGCGCTTAAGACGGCCGATTGACCAGACTGATTAGATTGAGTTCAGCTCTTTTGTTTACCGAGATATTTGAAGATGTTTGGAAACCATATTTTCGCGATTTGCTCGAAAACTATGAACGCTGGAAATTTGAAAAAAATACCGTTCGATAGTGCCCGATGAGCCCGACATTTTATAAAGAATAACTTTTGTCGAGAGGAAGCTTCTTCGTCGAGAAAAAAAAATGTAAAAATAAAATGTAAAATTTATAAGTGAGCTACAGGGGGAAGACGCAAAGTTTGTGCAGTCTCTTGTGGAAGAAAAATATTCAAAATAAAATTGCGAAATGACATTAGAATTGGTTGAAATTGACACCAGTTAGTATTGAGACAAATACGACTCAACTCCATGTCAATCGGGGAAAATTGGGAAATCACAAAATTGGGGAAAATTTCGAACTTTTTTCCCAAAATTTAGCATAGTTATTATCGATCGCAGCGAAAAAGTTTATACCAACTTTCTTATGGTACTTAAGACTAGGGCTCGGAATTTTTTAAAATCTGAAATTCGAATATTCGTTTAGTGGTTTATTCAAATAGTAAAATTATTCGAATACTCGAATATCTTCGAGTGTTCGTTTTCCGTATAATAGATAATAATAGATATTCGAGTGTTCGTTTTCCGTTCACCGTTTTCCAAGAAGAAAAATCATTATCTTATATCATTTTTGGCAATTAGCCGCAACGGATAAAAAAGTGACTTTGTCGGCACATTAATTGTAACACCGCGCAAAAGTTCACCAGAACACAAAGACGTAATTTTATATTCATTTGCAGGAGAGTAAATATGATTATTTTCATTTACTTGTAAATATATGGGTATTTGTTTAACTGCTTGTAGAATAGGAATCATTTATTTTATAAAAGTGTACAAAGTGCATATAAAGATATTTACACCTTGTGAGTTTGATAATGTTGGTGTATTCGGATATTCGAATATTCGAGTTATGACTACACATAATTATTCGCTTTTTGAATATTCGAATATTCGAATACTCGAATTATTCGAGTTTGATTCCGAGCCCTACTTAAGATCGACCAGACCGATTATATTGAGTTCAGCTCATTTGGTTACCCAGATATTTGAAGTTTTTTGGGAACCATATTTTCGCGATTTGCTCAAAAACTCTGAAAGCTGGAAAATTGAACAAATGACGTTCGATAGGGCCTGATGAGCCTGAGATTTTACCCAGAATAACTTTTGTGGACAGGAAGCTTCCTTTTCGAAAAAAAAAACGTAAAATTTCTAAAAAATTGCAAAACCCACCATCATTTTTTGAGAACTATTCCTTGACCGGTGGTTAGAATGATGAATCAACTACATTCCAAATCGATTCGGTAGTGGCAGAAAAGAACTCCATTTAAGCAGGAAATCGGTAAATTGTGCTGGCGATCAAGTGAACTGCTTCCTAAAAATCAGAAGATGATGATGAATGGAGTCTAGACCGAAACATAGCTAATAGATGTGGTTAATGGTTTTTGGATGCCATAATGAGAAACTGTAAGTTTACGATTTGGGCCAGACGAATGAATCGAAAAAATGTTCGAGAATTTTCGACTTGTTCATGTTTTCATGTAAACAAATATTTCGAAAACTCAATGATTTAGAGTAATTCCGGGAGAGATGAACCACCTTTTTTGATTCGACTCTATCTTCACAAAAAAATGCTTTATTGACGTAAAAAAAATGTTGTCACAAACATTTTAACTAACTGCAATCAGAACTGTAACTAAAGACTAAAAACTCGAACACAATTGCTGACAAAAAAATAAAATAAAAAACCTTTATGTGGTCCAACTAACCCGAAATCTGCGTGATAGTTGAACCACCAATTTGGGACAGTTGGACCACACAGGAAGAGATAAACCGTAACAAAGGATAAGGAACAAAATTAAACTTAATTAATTTTTTTTAAATTTTTTAATTATTAAGTTTTTTGGCGGCATTCATTGCACATATTTTCAAAGTTTGTACACGACTCCTGAAACACCTTCAGCAACTCTTATGCTAAGATCTGAATGACGGCTTAGGAAAAGATGTAGCTAGTCGTATTCTGCCATTTTTGTGATTGCGTTAAAACGATGCTTCAGCATTAACTGTTCAGCAACAGCAAATGTATGTCGCATGTCGTTCCGTGTTGGGACAAAACCAAATTTTTGCAGCTTTTTTACATGTGTACTATCGTCGCTTCATTTTCTTCTCCTAAAGTAGACGAAGAACTGAGTGAGCCAGTTTTTTAGTTTTCCCCACGGCTTTCTTGTAATTAGAGTAGTTTTGGGAATATTAAAGTGTCGGTGTGTGTGCTGCTTTAACCCCCATTGTTTTTGTGTCTATAGCCTTTACAACATTTTTGAAGTCTTCTTCGGTCCATCTAGCTCTTTGTGAGCTCAACTTCCGTTGGTATTTTGTAAGCATAGTATAAAACAGATAAATAAAAACCGGTTCAACTGTCCCAATTTACTCTCGTCCATCTATCCCAAATTTCAGGGATAGACGGACCATCCAAAAACAAAAAATCTATTTATTAATCGGCTTTTACATCATTTACGTTGTCCTGAATGAATATCATGCAATGCATTTTCAACCACAAATCGCATTTAAAAACTTTCTTTTAGTTAGAATCGCATCGTCAAAATACCGTTAAAAAAATTTCTACCATTTATAAATGCAAAAACCAATAAAGGCCGAGTCACATCTATCCGATCCGACTCCGACTCCGATCAGAGAACCTTCCGTCGATGACCAAATAATCGGATCGGTGCATGATCGGAAAGGGGAAGCCACACATGTCGTACACGTTTCAGTTTGCGTTCCGATTTTTGGACGAGTGCAAATCACAGATTATCAAACTATTCCTAAGGCCCATTTTCATCAGAAACAAGCGAAACGCAGTTTGACGAAACTAAGTTTATTTAAACGCCGAAATTAAACGCGTTTAACGACGGACCGTTTTCACCAGCGTTTCGGTACGTTTCACAAACTGCGTTTATTGAAACGCAGTTTAAGRAACTGGAAACACTGGCATCGTTGCAAAAGTGAGAAATATTACGATTCTCATCGCAAAATCATCTTATCAAGGAACCATTTGGGTCCATGACGTCATAGAACCCGATATCAAACCCAAACTTTCTGCTCGAACTAACCGTAAAATTTTAAAATTTGCTTTGTTTATGCACGGTTTGTGCATTCGCGTATGGCTTATGACTGGTATACACGTTTTTATTAGATTTTCTATTTGAAAAATTACTTAAACGAGTAGAAAATTAGGTCCTGCGGACGCCCTTTCAGTCAAGACGGATTTTACTGGGTAAACATCTTCGCTGGAATCTCACAAAACCCAGAACACCAGCTCTATCGCGGAGCTCACCCCATATATAATTGGATGTGATGTAGTTGTGCTGAAAGCCTTAAAATCTCTAGCAGAAATTTGCATGCATTCTGTGACATAAAACCGCAAAGCACCGAAAAGTTGGCTTATCGGCGACACAATTACAGACAGAACAGACAAAGTACATAAGTAACATTAAAATATTCGCAGACTTCTTCGAAAATTAAGTTATAAACTGGCCTACGTGCCATTTCTATTTTATTATTTTTCGGTCGACCGACAACAACAA